TAAGTTTATCAGCATATCTGAAAAACTTCTTATGTCTGGGTCTAGAAATTTGTAGAGGTCTGAAAGGTCTGAATCTTTTGAAATGCTTCTTTTTCTTGTTGCAGTAAAAACATGTGGGATCTTTGGAGGAACATTTGATTTGAAGTCCTGAGAAAGAGTAAGAACATGGCTTTTCAAGCTTTTTGAAGTTGTGCACCAAGGTTTTGATGTATTTATGCTCTTTGCAAATCTTATCAAGGACTTTTAGCATTATCTTGTAGATGTCTCCAAAGGTCATAGATTTGACATCAAAAGATCTGAGGTTCAACTGGATTCTTGTTTGCTGGGTAAGTTCTTCTGGAACAGAATTAAAAAATGCTTGCTTTAAGTTGACATCATCGAATCCACCAAGTATGTAGAAATATTGAGAGAATTGTTGATAGTGTCTATCAAGATCTTTTAGATGGAGAGAACAGCATTTGAGTCTGAAAAATTACTCTCTGATCTTTTCTAATTGTGAGTTTCTTGTCCATAAAAGATTACTGTAAATTGAGAGACAGCGTCTGTGATTGTTGGGCATTGAAAAAACTGAAGTTGTCTATATTCACCAATGTTGTCCCAAAAATTTTTCAGAGTTTCAACTAGTCTGAAAACAAATCTGATCAAAACTGTGTTCATCGTAACATTGGGATGAAAGTTTAATTCAACAAGTCCCCATGCTAAGAATTTTTGAAATCTTGAGGGCCATTTTGAAGGAGGAACATCATCAATGGTAAAAACTAAAAATTTGATGTTGAAGGAGGAGCATGTGATTATTGTGGAAGAGGGTGTTGTTCAGCATCCATTGCATCAGGGTTATCATCTGAAACTTCAACTGTTGGTTCTGTCAAGAAAATCTGAGGGAGCATCATTTCATCTGAGTCATCAGTATCATCTATTTCAACTGATTCATCTGATTTGACAGTATCCATGTGAGATTCAGTTTCAAAGGTAAAGGGAAAAATATCTTCAAGGGAAAATTGAGGAAGGTTGTCTTGTGCCATCTGGTGAAGTATTTTTGAAAGGGTTTGTGTAAGAAAAATCATAAGTTGTACAGGTTTTTGGATTGGTTGAGGTGTAGGATTTTGAGGTGTGGAACTTGAGCTTGGGTGTGGTTTTGAAGGTTGAGAAAGTGGTTGTTTTGCTACTCGTTTGGGTTTTGGATCAACTGGTTGTTTTTCTTAAAATCTGTGAATCTATTTTTTAGTTGTACCGAAAGGGAATTGGTCTGGTTGGTCTGATTGGTCTGAGAGAGGAGTGAAGTATTGTGGTGGTTGTGAGAATATTGGGATAGATGTTGGGGGAGGTTTGTACTGAAAAGGTGTGAAAAAAGTTTTAAAGGTGAGGTTGAAAGATTGTATGGTTGAAATAGAGGAGGAGTATAGGCTTGGTAAGGAGTATCATGCATACCAGTGTGATATGGTGTGAAGATGTTGTAACTCGAAGCTGCTTGTTGTTGATGTTGTTTCTGACGAAACTAATTTTGAAGGTATACAAGTTGAATCTTTAGGCTCTTCATTTCTTTCTCTCGTTCAGTGAAAGCATAAGTGATTCCAGTGTTGGTTTCAGCCATGTATCTGAGTTCTTGATCAAGTGTGATTATCCTTGATTGAATTTTAAGAATAATATTTTGGAGATTGACAAGGCTCTGATCAAAGTGTTGACTGACTTGGTCCAACTTATGTTCGATTCTGTACATGTATGAATTCTGCTGGAGAGAATTTTCAATCTACCAGTTTAAAACTGCTTCAGCACGAGAAACACTTTTTTGGTTTCCATATTCATCTCTGTCAGTGGGAGTGAGGATTTTTGGAATGTGTTTGTATTGGTCTTTATGAAATTCTTCAAAATGAGGAAAATTTGAGCTTGGGTAAGTTGGTTGCATCATAGAGATTTGTGATAAAGGTTTGGGTAAAGGTTGGGTGGAATTTTGGGTGGAATCTGGTTTGTGTGTGGGTTGAGGTGAGTAGGTTTGAGGGTGTGGTTTTTCTTTCTTAGGATAGATGACATAGTAGTCAAACTTTCTTGAGGGTTCACCAAGGAGATCAACTTCAAGGTCTCCATTTTCATATCTTTCTTTGAGCTTTTGCTGGGAAGACTTTTTCTTCTTTTGCTTCTTTGGAATATCATCATCATCATCCAAGAAGCTTTTATCTGCATCGAGCTAGCATTCTTTGCATTGACAATTTATGTCCCCATAGCAATGTCCTTCTGGAGATTTATATGCATACACGGGATTTTCATTGGACTGAAAGTGTGTGACTGAAACATCAAAGAGATCAGCATGACATCTTTGCATCATAAATTATGTTGGAAAGATTGTTGGAGGAGGAACATCTTTTCTTTTGCTGTGATCAAATTCAATTGTGACAGTACCATCCTGATTTGTCTTGTAGGTTGGATCAAAGTGTTCAATTGGTTCATCTTGTTTTCAAATCTTTTGATAACTTGTCATCCACGTCTTTGAAAGAAGGGTGGTAAGTTTTTCATTGGAAATCTACTTTGGAATATGAACATGTTTAGGAGTTCTGTCTGCTATTTTCATTTTAACAAAAACTGCATCACTGGAGTGGGAAAGAGGCAAGTTAATGGCATGATCTTGAACTCTATATGCCATCTGGTAGTGAAGGGTTGCCTGAAGGCCTTTCATTTCTGTGCCTACGATCTGGACTTGAACTTTTAAAGCATCTAACAGGGTTGGATCATGAAAAGACATATTATAATTTGAGAAGACTGTGAAGAAGATAGTTCCTGCATTGAGTGTCGTCTCGACGATTCCAAGGACTGCATGCTTGTAATCTTTAAATCTGGTGTCTAATAAAGCCATTCTGGTACAGACAGGAAATCCATTTCTGTCATGAAAGGTCAAAGCGATTCTGATAGCACCAAAGTGAATGTGAGTGTATCCTTGTTCTGACCATTGGTGAGGAAATTCTTCTGGGATCTAAAGAGTAACAAAGTGCTCTTGAGGTCCTGCTGAAAGAATACATTGATCAAAGTTTGTGGCTTGAACATATTCTTTTGGAGCTGAATATTTGGGTTTTAAAAGAGTTTTTAAAGATCTAGTAAGAGAAGAGGAAGAGTTTGAGAAAGCTGTATAAGGATTTACAAGAGGTAGAACTGTTTGTTAGGTTTTCTTTTCTTCTGCAATGTAATCTACTTTATATAAGAACTTAAGCTTAGAAGAGGAGGACTTTTTTAAGTACAGGAGATGGAGGAAAGGACAAACTAAAAGAAGATCTGGAGGAAGAAGGTTGAGAACTGGAGTTACTAAGAGTGGATAAATCCATGAAAGTAAGATTCTCTTTTGGCTTTTCCTTTTTCAATTTCAATAATCAAAACTTTAGAAACATACTTTTCTTCTCACTATCTTGGCAAGCTGCAAGCTCTGATACCATTTCTATACATAACGGCAGATAATACGGTCAAGGCTCTGACAACTGACACGACTTCAATTCCGAATTCTCCGGATGATAGAATCTTAACAATACTATCTTAAGTTTTTGTTATTATTTTATTTTATAATTATTATTATTATACGCCGCTCCAATTGTCCACTTCTCACCAACCGTCTGCTCCCCTTGGAACCATTACAAATATCGAACACTTTGTTTATAAACGCTCCCAATTGCTTTCACATGTCTCGACTCTCAACCAAACCCCACCAAAAGGAAAGATTTTGCCTTCCCTGTCTGTCTGCCTGTCTCTGAAATGTACAGCCATGGCAGCAACAGCCTCAACCACGACTCATTCTCTTCTCCCCCTTAAGACCCTTCAAAATCATGCCTTTCTCAAACCCAATTCCACCATCTTCAAAATCAAAGGCCTGCCAGACCCTTCTCCATTTCATGTTCAGCAACTATCCCAATCCAAGATCGCCCCTCCCTCCAAACCCAACCTCAAGATCGGGTCTTTAACTTTGCCGCCGGACCCGCCACCTTACCGGAGGCAAAATCGGACCTTTACAACTGGCACGGATCCGGGATGAGCGTTATGGAAATGAGCCACCGTGGCAAGGATTTCCGTTCTATTATCGAAAAAGCCGAGGCCGATCTTCGTGCCCTTCGCAACATCCCCGAAAATTATGCTGTGTTGTTCCTCCGAGGTGGGGCCACCACCCAGTTCGCTGTTGTACCTTTGAATCTCTGTCCGCCCGATTACTCCGTTGATTATCTGGTTACTGGCTCGTGGGGAGAAAAGGCATTCAAGGAAGCTCAGAAATATTGCAAGCCCAAAGTCATTTGGTCCAGGAAATCAGAGAAATAGGTCAGGGTCCCGTCATTTGATGGTTTAGAGCAAAGCCCGAATGCCAAGTACTTGCACATATGCGCTAATGAGACTATTTATGGCGTTGAGTTCAAGGACTATCCAGTACCCAGCAATCCAAATGGGGTTCTTGTAGCTGATATGTCTTCCAATTTTTGTTCCAAGACTGTTGATGTAACCAAGTTCGGACTGATTTATGCCGGTGCAGAAGAATGTGGGGCCATCAGGGCTCTGCGTCGTGATTGTCGGGAAGGATCTTTTAGGAAATGCACAAGAGGTTACCCCCGTGATCCTTTATTACAAGATCCATGCTAAGAACAACTCTTTGTACAATACACCTCCTTGTTTTGGGATTTATATGTGTGGGTTGGTGTTTGAAGATCTTTTGAAGCAGGGAGGACTGGAGGAGGTTGAGAAGAAGAACAAAAAGAAAGCGGGTATTTTGTACGATGCCATTGCTGAAAGCAAGGGATTCTACAGATGCCCTGTTGAGAAACCAGTAAGGTCGCTGATGAATGTGCCATTTACATTGGAGAAGTCAGAGTTGGAAGCTGAGTTTTTGAAAGAAGCTGCTAAGGAGAAGATGGTGGAGCTCAAGGGACATAGGTCGGTGGGAGACATGCGAGCTTTTATGCCTTTAGCTGGAGTTGAGAAGTTGGTTGCTTTTATGAAGGATTTCCAAGCAAGGCATGCTTGATTCATGCCTCTTCCTATATAAGGGCGGTTGTTCTTTTTGTCTCAAGTCTGTTGCGTTCTCCTTTATGTTTGCTTTGGCTTTATGTTGGTTCGGAATTAAGTACTATGGATGAAAGTTCCAAGCAGGGGAAGTTTAGCCAGATTCTTTTTTACTAGTTTCATCTCCCATTTAGATTCTTAGTCGTTCAATGTGAAATAATATATAAATTGCATGCTTCTTCGGGAAATGCTGAAAGGTCGCTTGACTTTTGATTTTTATGTACACTTTTCCAGTGTTAATTGCACTAGGACCTGCCAATCTCACTGTTGCAGCGATCTGAGAAGCTTTTTTGCTTGTTTGTTTCCTAATGTTGAAACCAAAAAAAAAAACACCCGAACGATGTCGTGTACCCAAGAGAAAGAATCAAGAAATAAACCTTACTTAGGGCATTAGATCAAGTAGATTCAAATCGAAGAAAAAAGTCCAAATCAGTGCATCCTTGGGAATCCGGCGTCACTACTACGGAAATTGGCATTGATGTCTATTTGAGCAACCAGGATAATTTGACGGATGTCATGAGGAAATTTGTATCAGTGCTAGTATATATAGTTCTTTATTTTAGTTTCTTCCACATTCTTTACTGTACATTGAGTTGTGAAAATCAATAAGAAAAAAATGAAAAAGAATACGTTCCTTGGGCACCATTCTTCCTCGTGAGTGCTCTTTACAACTGAATAATTACGTAATTAATGACTTAATTTTACAAAAAAAAAAAAAAACAATATTTTACTGTGGCCACGGCTATGCTTTTGGGTATGTCCACAGGCAGAGGGCAGACACCTACTGTGGCTGAAGCTGGTAAGCAGATATCAAAGATTTTCTCATCCAACAAAAGAACTCTACATTACGAAAATGAAAATCTTGAGAAAAGAGAAAGGGATGGTCCCGAAGCTTCATTTGCTGGATTTGATGGAACTTCAGTAGAGGTGCGGTAGGCTTGTTGACACTTCTGCATCTATGTATGCATGCACAAAGGCCAATGATGCCATGAAACAGAAGATTCTTCAGTACGTTTATAAGTTCCAAGTATTTACACTTATAACAATATTTCATCTAAACAAAGCACACAAAATAAAAGGAATGCTGTGTAATAGTGTATGTGGTAGGAACATTTGCCTAATATCAGGAACCCACAAAATTAAGCATCAAGAAGTGAAATAGAAAATCACCTCTTCAGGACTAAATTGAAGAAGCATTCCTACAACAGGTAGTAGAGCTTCCACTTCACCTATTCAAAGAATTAGCAACGTTCCAAAACATTATATGCATTGATACTTGGACGTTGAAGGGGCATTAAGCAACCGAAATTAACAGAACTTCTGCTTGTGTGATTGTGAAAGTTAGTACCTGTTTCAACAAGCTTTAGGATAACATTTTTCAGATACGTCATATCAACACCTTCTCTCCTTTTTGATCTTTCCATGTTGCGAAGCTCCCCCTTCAGCATAGCTTCCTACGATTGTGATATATGAAAATGCACATGGGCAATAGGAGCTAGCAATTAAAACATTATCATGGTACAATCTATCCAAAATAACAAACACCCCCCCTCCCCCAAAGAAGAGTTATTTTCATTGAATGCAACAGACAGTAAAGGAAAGCATGGTATATTCTTGGTTGAAAAAACAAGATAATTTTAAAGTGAAGAAAATACAAGTTTGATGCAACACAAGAATATCCATCTCATTTCAAATAAATTCACTTTCTACCTTATGGGGACCTTGCTTTCATCAGATAAGAGACAATTTCCCACACCAACAAACTCCACTATGAGGACTGACCAGAGGTACAACAAATAATGAAACAGCGCAAGTCTAGGCTTCTTCATACCTGTTGACTGTGGAGGCGATTTTCACGTTCAAGCTCCTCAATTTCTTCCTGCATGAAGCAACCATCAAGAAACCAAACTGTGGAAAAATAATTAAAATAGAATGGATATAACTAACCTGAAGGGCTAAAATGTGTCGCTGTGATTGTGCCAGCTCTTCCTCCCTCTGAGCCTGCTGCCTTGCTAAAAGCTAAATTTGAAGGACAAGTTAATGCAAAACCATTTTGACAATCTATGATTGTAAAAGATATGCATAGCAATGAAAAAGATATTTGTCAAAACCCACCCCCACCCGGGGAAAAAGAAAAGGAAATATGAAGCTACCAGAATCTGCTGTTCTGCTGCAGAGGTGCTTAAATTTGGAGCATATTGTTTTTGCGTGGCTGAAAAGACTAGCATTAAACATCAGACAGCCCCAGCAAAGTATATGTCAAAATCCAAAAAAAAAAAAAAAATCTAAGTTTCCATCTAAAAATAGAATAAAACTTTGCAAGTGGTACCACATAAATACTCATCATACCTGTGCTGTAATTCTCAGTGTGATCAGCCTGAAAATTTCACTTTATAGTCAGCCCAAAATTAACAAAATGCTAAACGACTCTCAAGGGTGTTGAGATTTGAGGTTAAGGTCTACAACTATACAAGAGAAAGGGAAACATACCAGTTGTCTTGATTCCAGAGATCGTTGAAGATTTTTGTTGTCATCCAAAAGCCCAGAAATTTCTTTATCCTTCTCCTCAATCATTCTATCAGCAAGATCACGGAGTGATGCATGCTCCTCCTGCAAGTAAAGAATCCAATCAATAAAAGCAGAAATAAAAGTTAATTGTCCTCATCTAAGCCAAAGGGAGAATACTAAATGCTAGGTACCTTCAACCGCTTATATCGTAGTTTTGTCTCCTCTAATTCATTTTGTATATCTTCACCAGAGGATGCTTCATTTTCAGCAGTAAGTGCTTCGCATCTGACTGCAATCAAGAATTATAAATAAAACTTTATTCAAAGTTCAATCTAGAAACATATTTGAGGAGAATGGAAAAGAAAGGAAGAAAATGACAGAAAATTTGCAATGCATAGATGCATTACATCTCCAAGTTTCTTCCAAATTTTTAAGGTCTATTTCCCATGCAGCTTTCTCCGATTGGTGGCGAGCATTAGCAGAATCAAGATTCATCTCTAAACTTTTGATCTGCTGTTTGGCATTATCAAGTGCAGCATCTCTAGTAAAACGCAGAGTGAAAACTTAAGGATGAATTCAAAGCACAAATTCTGACTTTGTAAAAGCCTAAAATCCAACAATATTATATTTTTAGCATCCATTTTTTCCTTCCTGACTAGTGTCCTTGAGAACATAAGTTCAGTACATATTGCTATCTCATCATGAATGTTAACTTGTAATGTTACCTTTCCGCAAGTTCTTTGTCATGATTACGTAAAACACCCAGAAGATCTTGATGGGCCCTATCCCTTTCTCCACATACCAATGACACTTCTCTTTCTACCTCCTGCAGCAACCAAAGAAATGGTTTTTTAATCTTTTAAAGAAAGATGAAATGTGAATAACAAAGTCATCGTTATCTTATACTACAATATTATACTTTTAGTGCTTCTTCAAGAGCTTTTATTTGCTCGCAGTCTTTGGCTGCTGCTAGCTCCGCATCCTTTTTCTGGAGAAGTGCATGTGCACGAATTTTATAAGAGGAAAATTCCCTTTCAAGGTGGCTAATCTGCAACACAATAAGGAGAAGAACATATAAGGGTCTGCTATAAATTTATGTGTCTGTTGTCTGCATACGTATTAAGCTAAAATAATAAATTTACATCCTCGAACAATATTAACATCTTTCCCTGGTCATTCAGAATTAATATATAAACTGCATGAAAAAACTAATTGAATAAATGAGATGCAGATAAAAGTTAATACCTCTTCTTTTGCAGCTGCTAGCTCAGCTTCTTTAGTGCTTAGCATCTGGGTTTGCAGAGACGCCTCTAATTCCAGCTGACCTATCCAACAAACAAAATGGATTTTCATTTTCTTGCACATAAGTAATAAATTTAAAATTCCAATGGTTCTTTCAGAAATGTTTATACTTCTCATTTTAGCAGCTTCTATTTCAGCACGAATGCAGTTACTCTCAGCAATTTCCATTTTTGTTTTGAATGCATGAGAGGCAGCTTCCCAGCTTTCCTTTTCCTTCTCCTGAACACATCACATGTTTGTCATGATAAGAACAAAATGTTAACACACTATATCGGTGACTAATAACAACATTGTACAACATTGTTCTCATTAATGGCATTTACTTATTTGAAGAGTTTGATTCATACATGCTCGTGTTTCACATGTGCAAGCTCTCCTTTAATAGATTCTACAGCTGCTCTTAATCGTGCAGCTTCGCCAGTTGAAGCTACATCCATATCAGCAATTTTAGACTCTTTCTCTGCCAATAGCACCTGCAAAAGTATGTCTCCATAATGCTTAGTCTACCTATGTCAGAGACCTAGAAGTGACGCATAGAATGAGAAAAAGAAGCCCCATAACCCCCTCCCCCTCCCCCTCCCAACCCACACAAAAAAAATTGACTTTAAGTGAAGGACTTAAAAAATGTATTCAATCTCCATCTAGGGCAAAATGCTGCTTGTCTTTTATCTTAAAAGTGATAACAAATCTCACCTGAAGGGAAGAAATTGTTTCAGTGGCTTTGGTTCTATTGGATAAAGCATCAGCAAGTTGTGCTTCCAAGCTCTCTATATTCTGATGAAGAAGAGAGAGCCATCAGAGAAACTAAAGCACCATTCTTGCAAGGTATACCAAAAAGAAGAGAAAGTTCTTAGCATCTTAACCATGATTGACACATTGTACATCTCAATGCCAATTTACCTTCTGATTTTTAGCAGCTAGCTCAGCCAATGAAACTTGCCTTTTTTCATCTGCAACTTGTAGTAATCCTCGCAAGTCTTCCAACACCTAAGATGTGAGCATGCATAAGATAGATTCCATCAAGAATTTCAGACGTAGAATACACTAGGAAGACCAAGCAACAAAACATAAAATCCATTCATAAGAACCGATGTTATTGTTAACTCTGTTTCATTTTAAGAGGTTCACGCATGAAGTCACCAAGAATTGAGTTCTTGAAGATCAAATCTATGATACAGTAAGTTTTGAGTTGTAAGGAGGAATTATTTAAGCTTTTGTAGACCTAAGTTATGCTTGGACCATTAATGAAAAGACCAAAAAAAAAAAAAAAGAATTAGAGGTTTAATAGTTTTCCAGAAAGCATACAAACATGCACGAAATCTCTTGATATTGAAACACATAAAGTCTTGTTCAAAACCAAGCACATTAAATATACATCATAAAGAGAAAATTAGCCTCATTGGGCATGCACATAAAGCTATAGTACCTGTTCTTTCTCTAAAAGTGACTGCTGCAATGACTCGAGTGCATCTTCTTTAGGCTGCATTGAACGGCGCAATTCCTCAATATTATCTCGGAGTCTGGATATTAATGGTATCACAATTATGAAAAAATTGACAAATAAGGAACAAAACTCTTATAAATCTCTATCAGTCAATGTTAAGACATTGAGATTCATAATGAAGGATAAATGCATTATTTGGGTTGAACTTCATTGTTAGGATTATGTAGTTCAACAATGATTATACATATTGTTTGCACTTCTTAATTGCTGTCTCTCTGTATCCATTGCTTTTAATGCTTCATTTGCTTGTTGACGTGTGCGCTCGAGCTCTTGCTGCAGTCCTGACTGTTGGGATGATGCTCGCCCAAGTGTTTCGTTAACTTCATGAAGCCTGGCCTCAAGGTCATCCTTTTCCTGAAAATAACAATCTCCAAACAACAATCTAACTTAGTTCCCATGCAAACATGTAGCCTTCCTTCCATTATTTTTCTTGATATAAAATTTTAACAACATGAAGAAAGCGATGCAGTTAAATAAATGAATCAGGGGACAAAATTCACCTTCTGAACCTCTTGAATGCGCTGTTTCGCACGTTTGTGAAGCCGGTTAAATTTCGAGTCAAGCTCATTATACTTCTCCTCACGCTCTTTTATTTCTTGATCCAACTTTTGTTGAGCTACACCACAATCAATGGTAAATACTCAAGAGTCAAAACAGAGTTTGCACAAATAAAACATGTATTACACTAAAAACAGAGTTTTCCTTCTCTTGTTATATGAGATGTTTTTAGAACAAACAAGTTGTCACTTTATAAGTTTACGTTGGGCCAACTTTCCAGAGCAAATTCCTTAAATATTTTTAAGAAATTAATAAGGGGCAAGTTTTAACAATGGACTTCTCTGACCTTCAGCAAGCTTGGCAGAGAGTTCTTGAGCTTTGGCATCTGCTTCTGAGTAGACTGCTCGAAGATGCTTTACAGCCTCTTCTGCTGCAGCTTGTGTTTGTTTTTCTTCATTAAGTTCTCTGCTCAAAGATTCTATCGTTTCGTGTAGTTTTTTTACATCTGCCGATAACCCTGTTTCCTGTCCGCTTACATTAGTTTCTTGGGATGGACCGTTATGTTGTGATTGGAAATTTTTTAAGCCCTCCAGCTGAGACTTTAGGGATTCATTCTCAAATTTGAGTTCAGTAACTGTCTGTAAAAGCTTATCATGAGTGTCATCTGAACTCAAGTTGGCATCAAACACACCATTTTCCTTGGAAAGAATTCCATTTGTTTCACACAATTGTTTCTCAGGCTTCAAAGAATCATCCACCTGAGTTTCAGGCGCTTGAATAACCTCACCTCCCTCCCCAGACATTATCACACTCTACGGAACAACAGCACCACTAACCTCAGCTGCAATCTAAAGATCATAGATGAAAAATAAATCTCCAAGCTATTAGCCATAAACCTTGCAAATCAGAAAGCTAATTAGCAGCCCATAGTTCTGATACGAGATATCAGAAGCTGAATATAGGATAGATGGCAAAGCCAACGATCAAGTAATGCTCTCAATCGCTCGCTCACTGATCAAAATGAAAGATGAATCTAAGATGAGAAACGTAGTATTGGGATGTAATAATCTAGATTTTCGCTTAAAAATCATGCCAAAGGAAACCAGAAATGCTAAAGAAAACGTCAATTATCTTTATATTTGTGATTGAATTTGATGGAAAAGGAAATCAAATTTTCAATGGCAATTTAAAAACGGCTTCGAAAACAATTTTACGAATGGAGATTGAGACGAAGAAATAGGAATTATATGTACCTTTGAATATGTGGAATGAGGGAGAGATGGATCGATTCGATTGCATTGGATCAATGCTTTGCTACAAATTTACTTAAAACAACAAAAACGAGACGGTGAAGAAAGTGAAAGAGAAAAGGACCGGAATTTTCAGTTTCAAGGGTAAGAGACCATTGTGGAAATTGGGATGGGATCTCAGGCAGGCAGGCAGGCAGAACAGAGAAACGTCACCGTTTTTTAGTCCGTTTTCTCCTTTTTCTTTTTTGGGTTTATTATTATTAATGGCTGAAATAACAAAGCTTAAAAGTTAGAAGACTTCAAAACTGACTGACTGCTTAACAAAGAACACGCAATAAGCAAGTATTATTACTATTATTATTATTATTATTTATTTGGCTAATTTAGTGAGGTTTTAGTATTAATACTCGACCATAAAATACATCCAGCTGAACAAAATGGCATGGTGGAATCACTCTCGAACCATTGTTAAAATTCAAAATTGGATGCCACCTTGTCAGGGCTTATCACTCCAAATCTAGTTTACCTCCCACATGCAGGTATTTCTTCATTATGTTCCCACGGACGATTTCAGGGGTACAATACAACATCAAATCACCCCTAGTATTTGCACAGTCACTCTTAATTATTTTTTGAACTTTCATGCATATTTCTCAAAAAAAAAAAAATTATGTATTTATTATTGTAAATGCAAATTATTGCTGTTGTTCTTATCGATGATGTGTTATATTTTTAATTTTTAAATCATGATTCAATCATTAATAATTTTAAATTAAAAATTAATAGCACCAACAAAGAATCTATAAAAATAAATTAAAGCTATGCCGATTGTTATGTGGTTGTTGTCCAACAAAAAATTAAACTCAGCCACAGCTATTGTTGAGGGCGACATGTGTATCAACTAATAATGTTGGGTTTTGATCATTTTAAAGTGTAGTTTAGTCATTACGCTCCAAAGTTTTGGAGGTAACAAAGAAAATAAGAATTGAGGATAAATTTTTGGATGAGCGAGAAACTATTTTCAATCTTGGAAAGAGATCCAAGAAATGTGGAAATAAAATTCAGAAGAAGAAAATCAAAAGCGATGATCAGAGTTGGTCAACTCATCGTCGGGAGCAGATTAAATTTTACAACTGGCCGATGATGAAAGAGTAAAGAAGTTTTACAACTAAATGTTCTCATACTTTTCAGATTAAATTAATCAAATTTTAATCATAAAACCCGGAACAACTTTCTTATATAGGTTACATATATAGGAAAGGATGGGATGGAGCTTGATTTTAATTTCTTTAAAACAAATTTGTCGCAGTGGAAAAGATATATATTATTATAAAAGTGTATGTGTATGTTTGCAATGTTGCTCTTGTTTCTATCCCAAAGAAAAGTGAAGATTGTTTGTTAAAGTAGTATTATTTTATATTTAATAAATATTTAAATATTTATAATTTTATATTTAAATTAAATCTTTTTATTTACAATCAATTTGCTTTAAGTTAATACTTAATATGATGTTAGAACTAATTTTTTTTTTAATTTTTTTAAATCTTTCACTGATAAATTTTTTTTATCTCTATTTACATGTGATAACAATTTATTAAAATAATATTATCTCATATATATTAAATATTTAATTTATTGTAATATTATATTTATATTGAATCTTTTTATTTACAATTAATTAATTTTAAATTAAATACTTAATAATATTCAAGTTTTAGCTGTTTGCAATGAACACGTTAAAATATTTCCACATCATTGGTGCAATATTTATAACAGCATTTTGAAGTTGTAGTTAGTGGGAAGAGTTAATCACATACTAATGGGAAGAAGTATATACATTCGATGTTATGTATGCAAATTGCAATTATGAGCATATATGGTTTTTGTGATTAACAAGCCGAGCCATGCCTCATTAATCATTAGTTATCATGCTACTTGCCTGCATCATCGTCTTCTTAATTAATGACTTTGAATTATATCATATGTCAACAGCTGTTTTTATGTAATATAAAATTTTAATCACTTTCTTAATTTCGTTTTTGGGTAATTTCTTTTGTAAACGAAATTATTAAAAAAGGCGGAACTCTTTAAAAAGGCGGGTGTCAAATCACTAATTATAAACATATTTAATACAAAATAATTGAATTTATCATATTATTAATTAAATTTAAATATTAATTTTTTATAAAATTTATTTAATATAACGTTTTTTATAATCTTTTTAATCATAATTATAATACTTTTTCCAATAACAATTATAATAATTTATATTATTATTTTTAATATCACCCAAACTGATTTTATTATCCGGAGCATTAGATTGTCTTAACACTAGGTCTGTGAATTATTTTTATCATTAAAGGCAATAATATTTTACACGTGGCGCATTGGCGAGGCGACGTGACTCTTCTCTGCTTCGCTATTGGGTACAGCTAGGAAAAAGAAAATTGGAAGATGGTCTTGTCTACATAGGATCACTACTCGCGCAATATTATTATTATTATTATTATTTATTCTACAGCAATGTTAAACGTTAATATTAGCGGCAGTGCCACCATTTTACTTTTCCTTTCTCTTTCTTGTAATTAATTAATTAATTCATTGACTCCAATCTTTCAATGGCTTCTTGCGTCTCCTAAAGGCAGCCCAAACAAAACAAAACAAAGCGATAGCCAGCCTGCTTCTCTCTCCAATCTTAGAATCCCACCCCATTTTATTCCACAGCCCCATGGCCCGACGAGCCATTCCCTTACTCAAACAACTCTTCACCTCTCCATCTTCTAATCTCACACCCATCCGATCCGTCACCTACATGCCACGCCCGGGCGACGGTGCGCCCAGAGCCGTTACCTTGATCCAGGGTGACGGCATCGGCCCTCTTGTCACGGGCGCCGTCGAGCAAGTGATGGAGGCGATGCACGCGCCTGTGTATTTCGAGCGATACGAGGTTCATGGCGACATGAACCGCGTGCCTCAAGAAGTGATCGACTCCATTAAGAAGAATAAAGTTTGTTTGAAAGGAGGATTGGCGACGCCTATGGGAGGAGGTGTCAGCTCCCTCAACGTCCAGCTGAGAAGAGAGCTCGATTTATACGCTTCGCTCGTCAATTGCTTCAATTTGCCTGGCTTGCCTACAAGGCACGCGAATGTCGATATTGTGGTGATTAGAGAGAACACCGAAGGCGAATACTCTGGCCTCGAACACGAGGTCGTCCCTGGAGTCGTCGAGAGCCTTAAGGTACTCCGTTTACTCCAAGCTTTATCGTTATGCTAAATTTGAATAAATATTAGGATTTTTTTTTTTTTAATTTTTTTTTGTGTCTCATACTACTCTATTGCTAGGTGATAACGAAGTTCTGCTCCGAGCGAATTGCAAAATATGCGTTCGAATATGCTTATTTAAACAATAGAAAGAAAGTGACTGCTGTGCATAAAGCCAACATCATGAAGCTTGCTGATGGGTTGTTCTTGGAATCATGTCGAGAGGTTGCTACCAAGTACCCAGGGATTAAGTACAGTGAAATAATTGTGGACAACTGCTGTATGCAGCTTGTTTCAAAGCCTGAGCAGTTTGATGTCATGGTATTCATATCCTTTTGTCTATGCTGTTTGTTGATCGGACAATTTAATATGCGATGTTTAAAGTTTGAATTTTGTCTTCAAGAAAAACAACCTAAGACAAAATGGTGTTCAAATCTGGTTACTTGCTTCTTATTATAATTAATGATACTCTAACTAATGTTGGCTGGTCCTTTTTTTTTTTCAGGTGACACCCAATCTTTATGGCAATTTAGTTGCAAATACAGCTGCTGGTATTGCTGGAGGCACTGGAGTTATGCCTGGAGGTACATCCTTGACACACTTCTCTCGATGATCTTTTGTAATGCTTTCTTCTGTTTCTTAAAAATTTGGTACCCTAACTTGTTCTGAAATGGGCTACATTCATATTGTTGAATCATTGATGAATATATAGCAAAAGGCAGCCCTCAGAACCCTTGGTGCTTTTGACCCAAAGGAGAAATTGGTGATTCTTATATCATTAAAATATAATAACTCATGCCTATTAATTTTATTTTTTTGTTTGTGCTTTCAATGGGAGTAATGAAACTGTATATGCACGTACATCTAAAAAGCAATAACAAGTGCTTGTATATTGGCTGTAGGACTAAAGTTCGAATATTATTTTATGCTCACTGTTCCTAAATCATACAACGAAGATATATTTAATTGCCATGAGAGGAGTTTAAAGCATGTAGCCTGCTGTCTGTTCTAGTACTCTTGTTTCGATGAATAGTGTTTGATACTAAACATGTGACATCACGTTGAAAACCAAGTGAGTTTTCATTCCTCCACTTTATTCAGTTTTGCTAGGGTTAGGTTATAAGATATTGTTGGCAGAAAAGAGTTAGGTGCCTCCAGTTGTAGTGTGAACTCTTTCCGAATATTGTATGTATGACTTAAGTTTTGTTCGAACATTGGGGTTGCTGTTTTGCAGGCAATGTTGGGGCTGATCATGCTGTTTTCGAGCAAGGGGCTTCTGCAGGAAATGTGGGCAATGAGAAACAGCTGAAACAGAAGAGAGCAAATCCAGTGGCCTTGCTTCTGTCATCTGCTATGATGTTGAGACATCTGCAATTTCCCTCATTTGCTGATCGATTGGAAACTGCTGTGAAACGGGTTATATTAGATGGCAAATACCGTACAAAGGACCTTGGAGGAACCAGTACCACTCAAGAGGTTGTTGATGCAGTCATAGCCACTTTAGACTGAGTAAGAAGACAATTGAGTAGTCAGTGCTTTATATTGAAAATCTAGCCATCTATTGTGGGAATTCCCCACGCAAATTCTTCATTTTGAGCTTGGATCAGTTGTTGTTGATTTTATTCTTATTCACAATAGAAATTATTATGTCTAAATAATCTCAAATCCCAAATGAAAGATGGAATGGTTTTTTGAGGTAAAACCTTGTTATGTAAACAAACTCCATTCTTGCTGCTGTGACAATCCTAACATTGTACTGTTTGGAGATTTTGTAGTCCTCTGCTTTCCAGACAAATGTAGTTAAATAATTTATGTAAAAGCTCGAATAAAACATTTTAGTTTTCATGGTTGTGCGGATAACGTGTCGTACTTTTGACATGTTCAATTAAGCCCCTTGATTGTATAGTTCTCTTTGACTTGGCAGTTGGCACTCATGGCAAAAACGAAAAAAACAATCTCCTACCTAAGCTGACTCGATGTCAACATTGCATGGTGAATAATAATAATAATAATAATTGGATAAATTATCCAAGTATAAATAAAATATAAGTACTAATTGGTTTTATTACTACTAAATACAAGAAAGGGTTGTAAAATAAAAATGGTAAAATTTAGTCGTTATCTATTCGAAAATGTTTGGCGTTGTTGCAACCTTGAAGTATCAGTTCCCAGAGCTTAGGATGCCTTGCAGCTTTCATTTTCACCATGCTACTATTCATCTTGGAAGTTGGTGATCTTTTATTTACATCCTCTGCTTGTTGTTCTGACTGCACCATTCTCCGACGCTCATTATGGCCTGCCAACCGATCCCAACAACTTCTTTTGGTGCCATCAAACTCTGAAATTTCATGAAATCTGCGTTTTTTACAGTGGATAAATCACCGAATTGCGCACAGAAAGTGAACAAAACCATAACAAAGATCAACGCTTTTGATGCTACAAGCTACTATTCGTTTCATCGGAATGTCCCTCAGGATATGCAATCAGTAGAAACATGAAAAATAAAACTACAAATATAGGTGACCAAGATTTGCCTCTATGATAGACTTATGATCATGTTAGACACAGCAATGGTCACAATCATATTTAGGCTTAATCTTCCTAGGTCCAACTGGTCATTGATGATAATCTTTGTTCACATTATAGAAAAGACCCCCCACAATTTCTGTCATCCTCCTTATCAATAGCAATAACTACACCTGCATATTCCTACCTAAGTGTCCATCCAACTTAGCAGAGTTATGACGAGAAGAAACAGATAAAACACTTTAATTTGGACACTAAGGGCTGGGAAAACTCCAAATGACAAAACGTAATTGATGATTGAGCAGCAAAATAAGCAAAGAGTAACCTGCTGCACTGCTGGCAGAACCTCTGGCGAATGCCCTTAACCAAAACAAAAGCAGCCTTCGCGTGTTGCTCGCAGACTTTGTGGCGCCGATGATATTGCTTTGCATCTTTCAAATCCGCACCGCATTCATCAACTTGACAACACTTACAAACACCAGCACTGGAGTGTGAGTACTTTGTCAAACTCCTCTTCTCAAATGAACCACCCTTATCATGACTCTCCTCTCCTCTCTTTGCTACACTTCATCCTCATCTTCACTCTCCGTCTCTTCTTCCTCTAACTCTGATTCTTGCTCTGTTTCCGAGTCATCTTCTTCTATCCCTTGTATTGTTTTAAACGACCTTTTTGCCATTTAAAAAAAAAATCACTAATAACATTATATTTGGATAAATATTAATAAAAAAATAAAAAAAATTTAAATAAAAAGAAAAGATGCATGAATTTTTATTTAGATAATTAAAATTAATAAAAAAATTTTTAATAATCATTATTTAGATAAAAATAAAAAAATTTATTCATTATAATAATTTTTTTAAATATAAACTTTTATTATATGTGATTTTAAAATATTTTTGAACCATAATATATTTGTTATTTTATACAGTTTCATAATTGTTATTATATCAATGATTTTTAATAAAAAAATAGTAAGATATTTTATAAATATGTATTAATAAATTTTGAGTTAGTTCGATATCTCATAAATTTAAAAAATATATTTTTTTATATTTAATTATTCATCAAAATTAAATTATTAAAAAATTATAAAAAATTTTTATACTGGAAGAGATATATAAAACTTATTTGAAAAAAAAATGATTTAAAAAAAATTATAAGATGATTATAATTTATTTAGATTTTTTATTAAATTTTTAGTATTAATAAAAAGATAAACATAATAATTTTTTTATAAAAAACTTTTTTCAACTTTTTTTTATTTTTTTTCTAAATTGAAGTATTAGAAAAATTAAATTTACAAAAAAAAATTATTTAATTTTTACTTCTTTTTTTTCTTTAAATTAAAAATTTATATTTCTTTTACATTCTTTAATTTTACATTCTTTCATTCTTTTCATTCTTTCATTCTTTCATTCTTTCCCTCAATCCAAATACAGTAAAAGTGAAAAGCGCTTTTCTTTATCTTGATCTCTGCGGGGCGTTTTAAATGGGAGACAGCAAGGGAGTCCTTAGGGTTTGTGTGTGAAAGAAAGAAAGAAACCAAAAGCTCCGAAGCATGGTGATAATAGAGAAAAAAAGGACAATGGGATTAGTAAAATCAGTGAGAGAAAGGGTGAGTCACCCATCATAAGACGCAAAGTGTCACGGTCATCATCCACATATAAAAATTTTAGGTAGAGTTGGTTTAGAAAATAGAATATTTTTTGTTTTTAATTTTTTAAAAAATAAAAAATAAAAATAAGTTAAAATATAAAAATTTAATTTTAATTATGAAAATAAGGGATATATATTATTTTTTTATATTTTATAAGTTATCATATTTAAATATTTTTAATATTATTAATTAATAAATAATTTTATATTTATAATTAAATACTATTAATAGGAATATTATTGAATATTTTATTTATTTGTTTATTTTTATATTTTTAAAAAATAATTTTTATTTTTATTTATCAAATATATTTTTAAAAAATAAAAATAAAAATAAAAAAATAATTTTCTCAAATCAAACATAATCTTAATCTCTCTCGGTGGATATGACTTTGAATTTGAAGGAATCTTTCTTTTCTTCGTCTTTACCTAGTCTTTTGAATATTTTTCACATTACTTTTCTCTCTCGCGACGGCCAAAAGCGTTTGAAAAAGGCATAAAACTTTCAATCATAGAAAGAAAATAATTATTTTAAGTGATTGATTAATTATTGAAATAGTGTGGTGAGGGAGTATATTCACGTTTATTCGATGATAAGAAGAATTTGACAAAATAAAACATTTATATTTTGTTAAATACAAACAAACCAAGGTTCATACTTCATACGGTCCAAAATGGAGGGGTCGGGGATCCGAATCAAATCTTCAATCTCTCTCGTAGAAGCAATATTTAACTCAGATATTGATGACATGCTAAGATTTTTAGATTTATTAGATCCTGATATAATGGATCAACATCTTTCTCATTTGAAAAAAAAATATTTTCACCTAAACAAGGATGAAATAAAACAAACATCTGATTCGAGCCAAACAGGTCAGGTTAGAATTGAAACCCCTGTTATCGATTCGTTAAACAAACGAATAATTTCTCAAGGCGGTACTTATTTAAACTTAAACAAAGTCTCTTTTAAAGACTATGAAAAAATCATAGACGATTGGGCACAATCTATGTTTATTGTTGTCACAGGTTACAAGGAGCAATGGAACAAAGAAAGATTCCTCAACTTCTTTTGTGGCACATGACAAGGTGATGTCTTTCAATTTCTTAAAAAATGGAAAACTACAACCCTTGGAGAACAGCAAAAATCAACTCTGTTAGTTGCAAAAAATATACCCAAACTTCTAAAAGATTTAACCCAAATCTTGAAAAATGAGTTTTTGGTAGTACAGAATCTCTAGATCCCACTCAAGAAGCTTAATTTATTTTATCAAAATTAAAATTATGTGATATTAAATATCTTGATGATTTTTCTAAAAAATATCTTTCTGAATATCAAAAATTGGATGAAAAACATTCAAACTTTTGGTTACAACAATATTTTCTCAAATTTCCCTCACCATGGGATGAATTATGTTCATAAAATTACCCTGTTTATTTAAAGTTAAAACTCAAAACTATTCATGTTGCAAATCCCAGCATCAAACTTTATGATACTCTTAGATGTAGAATATACTACGTTTAGAATCAGGTCAATGAATACTGCCTCAAGCAAAAAGCTGCCAAACAGGTAAAATCTAAACTTTTGTATAAATAATGTACAAAGATTTTGGAAAATGAATTTGAATTTGGTTGTAATAAACAATTTTTTTCAAAAAAACATCGTTTTAAGAAAAAACGAAAATATTTTTGAAAAAAATAGAAACCCATAACTTTTAAACCTAAAAAAGGTAAATTTGTTGTTAAAAAGAAGAAGAAAACCTCTTCTAAAAATAATTGTAAATGTTTTCTTTGTGATCAAGAAGATCACTATTCAAATACTTGTCCTAAAAAAGAAAAAGTGCGAAAAAAATGATCAAAAAATTTGATAACAGTTTTTTTCAAATTTGTTTTGCTGATGAATTATCTGACGAAGAAATTTATTATGAAGTTTTTTTAGAAACTGATTATAGTTCTTCTGACGATGAATCAAATTTTATTTTTATGTTAAATACTGAATCTAACCAAGATAATATTTCAGTAACCTTTTCTACAGATACAACAACTACTAATGAAGAAGGTATGATTAAACTCAAAAATATTATGAGAAAAACTCATTTTATTTCTGATGAAAAATTAAAAGAATTACAACTCATCAAACCAGATGAGATTTACAAAACAAGTTGGTTTATAAAATTTCAAACTTAGTCTAAATGTCATATAGAAAACCTATTAGGCGATACAGTTGCTAATGATTCTAAACAAGAATTAGTAAAAATTCTTCTTTTTACTAAAAAAAAATAAGCTATTTTCTTTCTAGATATCCAAATGTCAAATACATCCATATATGAATGATTTTGATCACCATTAAACCACTATTTTTATCCACAAAGGATATTCCCATAATAGCTATTTTAATGGATCATCGTTTTTAAAACCCTGCTAACGCTGTAATTGGTGGAATCCAATCCAATTTAGCAGCAGGAGTAGTTTTATTTAAAGTTAAACCAAACTATTTTATTTCTATTTTTGACGAAAACATCGAAAAATGTTTATGTATTCGAATCAAAATAACCAATTCTAATTTCGAATCTACTTCGCATGATCTTTCAATCAACTGGTTAGCGGTTTATGAATTTACAAATACTACTAATACTTCTATCAAATTGATAGATTATAATATTATTGAAAATTTTGAACCAAACAATTTTGATTCAGAAATTAAACCCAAATTAGTTAATCTCGCAAATTTATCAATCTCAAAAGGATAGTGTCTCGAAGATCTTTCAAATACATTTGAAAAATAAAAGTATCAAGTTTAGAATTTTTCTTATCAGGAAAAAATCTTTACTTTAAAAATTCAAATGAATCAACCAGTTTTAATCCAAATGTGGTTTTACCTCCCACAAATATTTTTTATCATCAACTAGACGATGATATAGAGAGTATAACAAGTAATCAATCTTTTTGTACTCGTTATCGAAGTTTTTTTTTAGGTTTTCATAGTACAAACAATTCAAAAGCCCTCAGATGAGCAAATAGTATACGTCAATCAGGTAATATTGATAATGCTCAAATTCTTATTTTTACAGGAGATAATCCATCTCAGTAAGGTACGGGTGATAACCAAACCTATTATCATTCTGTAAATTCTGTGTTAAATTCACACACATCTTTTTCAACTAGAAAAACTAAAACTGAAGATATTAAAATGTTTCATGCTATAAATAATTTTCTTATTTCTACACAACAAGTGCCAGAAATAATTTCATTTGCCAACAAGGTTTGATATTATACTTATATAGAAGGTTATTTTTATTTTCAAAACTATAAACCATATAGTTTAAATATTTTGATTGACACAGGAGCAACAATCTCTAACTGTCGACCTAATGCTTTGTCGTCAACAAAATGGTAACCCATGAAGCATCCTATAATAATAGTAGGTATCGATGGTAAAAAAAGCATTGTTAACCTAAAGGTAAAAAATATTCCTATTACCTTAAATGATAAAAAAATTCATTATACCTAAAAGATTATATTTTCCTAATATGCATGGAGACATTCTGTTAGAAAATAATTTTATACACAAATATTTATTATTCTTTGTTTTTTTTTTATTTCTTACTTTTACTATTGATAACAAATCAATAGATGTTCCTCTTTTATCCAAGCATAATCATGTTTGTGATAATGGTTTTTAGCCAAAAAATAACACATATTTCTGAACTTAAAGCTATTAATGAAAAACATTGGCTTTATAGAATTTTGTAGGAAAACTTCAGTGAAGACCCATTGAAGCTCTGAAAGCGCAGTCCTAGATACTGTGAACTTACTTTTCATTCTTCAAAAGAGATTATTAGAGTAAAGCCTATGATCTATACCAAACAAGATATAGATGAATTTGAAATTCAAATTTCAAAATTACTCAACAAAGGTCTGATAGAACTAACTACTTGTCCACATTTAAGTCCAGCATTCATAATAAGAAACCTTCTGAAATTAAATGAGGTAAACCCCGTATGGTTATAAACGATAAGAAATTAAACCAAAATCTTGTTTTTGATGGCTATTTTATCCCTCGTAAAAATGTTTTAATTAATTTAACAAAAAATGCTAAATATTTTTCTAAATTTGATTGTAAATTCAGATTTTGGCAAATCATACTAAATGATACTTCGAAACCCTTAACTGCTTTTAGTGCACCAGCAGGCCATTACCAATGGACTGTTATGCCTTTCGGCTATGCAACGCCCCTCAAATTTTTCAACGTTGGATGGATAGTATTTTCAACAAACATAAATAATTTTGCTGTGTATATATTGATGATATTTTAATATTTTCAAATACTCTAGATGAGCACAGGAAACACCTAAATATTATTGCTCAAGAATTTATTTTACATGGTATTATTTTGAGTTCCAAAAAGGTTGAACTCGAAAAAATCAAAATTGAATTTCTTGATCTTTAATCTTTCTGCAAATGAACTAACCCTGCAGGATCATATTATCTCCAAGATCAAAATATTTTTAAAACAATTGGATAATGTCAAACAGCTACAACAGCTGTTAGGTATACTTAATTATGGCAGGTAATTTTTTAAAAATCTTTTCAAAAAGGAAAGCTATCTTTTGCATAAATTATGAAAAGATAATGATTTTGTCTTGACACCTAACGATTCTGATATTATCAAACAAATCAAATCAGATTTAACCACCATACCTAAGGTTTATCTACCTAAACAAAGTGATTTATTTATTTATGAGACAGATGCCAGTGATGAACATTGGGGATGTGTCTTAAAAGCTAAAAATCTATATAAAAAAGATGAATTGATTTATGGCTACAATTTTGGTAAGTTCAAACCGAACGAAATAAATTATATTATCTTTGAAAAATAATTATTAGCCATAAAAAATGATGTACAACGATTTCACATCTATTTAGCTCTAGAGATCTTTGTTATCCGAACAGATAACCAAGTAGTTAAAAACTTTCTCCAAAATAAAAAGCTTTTTGATAATCCCAGGCGAATTAGGTGGTACAATTTTCTTTGTTCTTATCATTTTCAGGTAGAATTCATGAACGAAGATAAAAACCTCCTTGCAGACTTCCTGATTCGACCATATGGATCGAGGAAAACAATTAGTCCATGACATAGGTGGATGGAGAACAATCAAGAAGAAAACAAGTAAAAAATCATTTTCTTTTTTTCTTCTACTCCTTCTTCTCCAAAACCTCTGATCTATACAAATCCTAACCCAAGATTTAACTTTTACAATAATCATAACCAAGGATTATATCTCTACCAGGAAACACTTTACAGACCTCTTTTCATGAGGATTCAACCATAATTCTCTCAGTTCGTTCAAGATCCAAACGAATGGACACCTATGAGTTTTTCTCAAATAGTTTCTTCAGCAGAACAACTGCTTGAAAAAATAAAACTCTCTAACCCAAAGATTAAAGATTTTTACAACCCTGGACTTGAACCACAAGTTTACAGTTTGTTAAACAATGTTTGAAAATCTCATCTCTCAAAAAATAAATCCAGCTTTCGAAAAGGGATGACCAAATTAGCTGAGTTCTTAGTCAACTAGGCTAAAGAATTTCAGAATTTCAAAGAAATAGCTTTTCAAAGCCTTCTATCAACAAATTTGCTAAAACAGCAAGATATTGATTTCTTTTTTTTTTGGAAGAAAATCAGTATAATCTTCAAGAGATAAACAATTTCTTGAATTTATGTGAATATTTTGAAAAAGAAAATTATGTTTCCTCTAAGCTAAATAAGCTTAAAGAATTTTTCTTTTTGAAAAAGCTGTGGTATTCTTAACCAAAGAATTATTCAACAAATTAATTCTTCTATTTTACAGTCAACAGAAAACCTGTTGATAGAAAATTTTTTTAATTATTATACTTCTACATATATGTATAATACTTCTTTTGGTGAATACATACCTAAACTTAAGTTTCGACTTAACCATGAAATTTTTGATGTAAAAAGCATTGAATTTGGTTTAGTTGGACAAATAACTGTACAAAATTATTCTTTTCACCTTTTAAAAGATTTTTCAGCTTTTATTAAATACCATTTTATTGAATGTGTAGAATGGTCAAAACATTTTTACTACATTCACTTCACTATATATAGTTTTTTTGGTACCTTTCAAAGAGAAAGATTTTACCAACCCTATCAAATATGAGAATTTGATACAGTATTTGGTGGACATTTTTTTCAACCCCTAAATATACTTGATCCACCTACAGACCACATTGAATTCTCAGATGATTTAAATAAAATCATCTCTAAATATACCAACCCAAACTCTTACCATTTCCAAACCGAAACTGATTTTATGGATAAAGTAAAATTCTTTTTCCATTTAGCCACCAAACCAAACTATCCAAAAATAGCTTGCTAGATAGATGACAGATGCATTTTTGTTATCAGATTTCTGAAACCATATGACGATATTGATATACAAAATGCCTCAGAAGTAATTGAGCTCTTGGAAAAATTATAAAAAATGAAAGATCTTGGTCATTCAACGACCTACTATACCAGTACCAAAAAAGATGACAAATGTGGAACAAAACACATTCTGGATCTCCTCAATCTCCCCAGTCTCTTAACGTACTGGATGAAGAATTTCATAACTTAACCAATACTATGGAAGGATAAAACTGTGCATATTCTAATCCAAGATAAACCAGAATAGACAGCCGACACTAAAAAACAAATCATATTCGACGCCAATGACTAACAGACAAAAAATACTGTAGTAATCAACTATAGAAGTCACTGCAACAGACAGATAAAATATCACTGTAACAATCATTATAACAAAAAAAGATAAAGACCTACTACGAAAAACACTATAGCAAGTCACTGTAACGATACTATAGATAAAATTTTACTATATACTATAACGATAACTGTATAAAATTACTGTTTATAAATTAAAATTTTTTATTTAAAACCTCATCGTATCTAAGTTCGAGAAGGCCAATTTCCCTTTGTTTTTTACTTCTTTCCTCATTCTCTCGTTTCATTCTCTTTTCTCTTACTTCTTGTCCTTCATTTATATACATATACAGATATAACTTTTGTAACCTTTTATACATAGATCTTTTTCGTACCTGCCTTGAGCCCTGTGCACCGCACTTTCATCCACATTTTGATTCCTAAACAAGTTTAGTTACCTAATAATTGCAGAGTTAGTATCAGATTATTTAAGGAATTATTTAAAATCCATCCAAAACATAAGCAGGCCAATATATAATAATTGGTTTCCGACACATGGACTTTTTGAAAGAAAAGAAAGAAAGAAAATCATAACATCTTTTTTCAAATAATTGGAAAATCATTTTTAAGCACAAAATAAAATAGTGTTTGTGTCGTGCCTTCATTACATTCGTTTATATATATATATATATATATATATAATATATATTGTCATTAAAATTAATAAATTTATCTTTGTGAAAAAACAAAAACAAAAGTCTCCATTTCTTGTTACCAAGCAAGTGAAAGTCACAACCTATATGAGATAATGTCTCCGTTACGCTTCTGTCCGTCACAAAAGACAAGGCCACTCAGTTATGAGTTCACTTTTACCTTCTCACGTCTCTCTTTGCAGTATCTTGTTTTTCTCTTCTCTCCTTCCACTTTACGGACGACGGCTGACGACCATGAACCGCTTCTTAAAATCTTCATGGACTCGATTGGTCCCCAGCATCAACCGCCTCCGCTCCTTTGTTGCTCAAAGTTATCGCCCCTTCTCTCGCTTTGCAGGGGATGACCTTGAACCCGACTCATGGAGATCAATGGAGGGTCTTGTCCGTTGTTCCGCCAATTACATGCCTCTGTCTCCCATAACCTTCCTGGAGAGAGCTGCGATGGTTTACAGAGACAGAACATCTGTTGTTTATGGCTCTTATAAGTACTCCTGGAGTCAAACACATGAACGTTGTGTCAAGCTCGCTTCTGCTCTGTCCCAGCTGGGGATTTCCCGGGGTGATGTGGTACGTTGCTTTATCTAAAATCTTGTTTCTTTTTTTCTTCTCCTTCGACCACCAATTTGCTTCGTCCTCGTGGGTGCTTTCCTGCTTATGAGAATTTGATTGCCTTGCATGTACCACTTGCCAAACAGAAAACTTTATTAATTGACTTATGGTTGGGAATATGGGGAAGGAAGTCGGAATTTCGTTTTCTGCGTAGTTTATTTGTTAATGGCTCTGGTTAATTAATGTACAGCCTATCAATATGAGGTCTAGAGTGAAATCCCTAGCCAATAAATAATTAAAATGCCATTTTCCTACCCAATAGGGGTTGAACCCATAATTGAAATTTGAAGTGTTTTCATTAGATATGTATTCCAATTCCATTAGAAAATCTCAATTTCTTTTTCAAGTTAGTGGGGCAGCCTGTCAATGGCTCTGCACATTTCGTACGTGAATCTTGTAATAATCTCTTTATTAGTACAATCGTTCTTGTATACATTTGTCATTGCAATATAATTGTTCAGTTTTTCCCTTGTGTGTTTCTGTTGAATTTTATCCAATATATATGCCTCATAGAAGCACCTTTTTGAATTACAGAATCAATTGGTATCTTCATTTTCAGCTCTAAATTGTTTAAGCAGGTTGCCACTCTGGCTCCCAATGTCCCAGCAATGTATGAGCTGCATTTTGCTGTTCCAATGGCCGGAGCAGTTCTTTGTACACTTAATACTCGCCTTGACTCAGCCATGGTTTCAGTTTTATTGACACATTCCGAAGCTAAGATCGTATTTGTAGACTACAAATTACTTGAAATTGCTCGTGAAGCACTTGATCTTCTTGCAGAAACAAACAAAAAACCACCTGTTTTAATCTTGATTTCTGAATGGGATGATTCATCTCCAACCAGCTTTGGACTAGGCACTTATGAGTATGAAAGCTTGTTAGAAACTGGGAATATTGGATTTGAGATAAGAAGACCAAACAGTGAATGGGATCCCATCAGTGTGAATTATACCTCTGGCACAACATCCAGGCCCAAAGGAGTTGTTTATAGTCACCGGGGAGCCTATCTCAACTCCCTTGCCACAGTTTTCCTTCATGGAATGAACTCAATGCCTGTTTATCTATGGACTGTGCCTATGTTTCACTGCAATGGCTGGTGCCTCACTTGGGGAGTTGCAGCGCAGGGTGGCACAAATATATGCCTGAGGAGCGTTACCCCAAAGGAGATATTTGAGAAAATAGTCCTGCACAGTGTGACACACATGGGAGGAGCTCCTACTGTCCTCAACATGATTGTGAATTCATCTGTGAGTGATCGAAAGCCACTTTCCCACAAGGTTGAAATAATGACAGGTGGTTCACCCCCACCCCCACAAATCCTACTTAAGATGGAAGAGTTGGGTTTTAGTGTAAATCACTTGTATGGCCTTACAGAAACTTATGGTCCAGGTACATACTGTGCATGGAAACCTGAATGGGAGTCCTTGCCTTCTGATGAGCAATCAAAGTTGAAAGCCCGACAAGGAATGCAACATATTGGTTTGGAGCAGGTTGACATAAGAGATCCTGTCACGATGGAAAGTGTACCAGCTGATGGTAAAACCATGGGTGAGATTATGTTCAGAGGAAACACTGTGATGAGTGGATACTTTAAAGACTTGCAAGCAACAGAGGAAGCATTTAGTGGGGGATGGTTCCGGAGTGGGGATCTTGCTGTGAAGCATCCAGATGGTTATATAGAAATAACGGACCGACTGAAGGATATCATAATTTCAGGGGGAGAGAATATAAGTTCGGTAGAGGTTGAAACGGTTTTGTATGGTCATCCAGCAGTTCTTGAGGCTGCAGTTGTTGCAAGGCCAGATAATCATTGGGGACAGACCCCTTGTGCATTTGTGAAGTTAAAAGACGGATTTGATGTGGATGCTCAAGAACTAATCAGGTTTTGCCGAGATCACTTGCCACATTTTATGGCTCCCAAAACAGTGATCTTTGAGGAATTGCCAAGAACTTCAACCGGAAAGATACAAAAGTTCATATTGAGACAAAAAGCAAAGGCCCTTGGCAGTCTGTTTTGAGCAAAATGATAATGTGCAGGATGTTGATCCTGATTGAGGCTTTTGTTGTGGGGATTGATGAGAGAGATAGACGATTTTCAGTATTCTTCATTCCGCTTGTGATCATGGTAATGGCTGGGCACCTGGTTTTCCTTCCAAATCAAATACCAAGACACCTGCTTTTTTCCCCATAGGTAGTCATGCAATATACTTTTCCGTGATTGCCATAGCCTTTGGGAAGAAAAGATACCTCCTGATTGAATGCTAAAACAAAAGAAACAGAAGAATTCCAGATCCAATATATGCAACAATACTTAAATTATCAGAAATTATTAAGAAAAAAAAAAATACTAGTAGCTCGTATGCAACACAATATACTAATGGTTCAACCAATTATAACAATCAAACTGCTGCTAGATATCTGTCTTTATTGTTCTAACCCAAGAAATTACAGAGGCTATTCTCAAAAAAACAAAAGAAATTATAAAGGCCGCTAAATCGCAGCCATTATTAGCATTTGTTGTTCAATAATAGGAGAGTATAAAATTAACAGTCCAACCATGGCCACTGCAATCCTATATTGGCCTTATCCTTCATATCTAATATTATCAGGCATCCCAGGCAAATTGTGGATAAATTTTTAATATAATACTTTATGCAACTCCCCTGCGAAATATACGACTCTTTAATCGGCCAAATAAAAAGTATGCACTGCATTAAGGTTATTTAATGATCTGATAAAATAAGAGATGAGAAATTATTTTCCAATTAATTAAGTAACCCTGGTGTGACTGACCAAAAGCATAGAAGTCTCACAAAATTAAGACTAGATAATCTTGATCATGAGGGTGACAGTGCAATTCCATTAGGAAAGTAGATATCGCTTAGCGACACCTTGGTTCGTTTAGAAATTTCCACTATAATTAAGGCCTCCCCTCCATAATGTCCCACCATAATCAGTGAGGTAAATTAAATTTATAAATCACCTCCAAAGTTTAATTTTAAAAAGATTACTAATTAATTTAGCTCGTTTTGTTTTTTACTCTTTCACCCACTTAGTGGCCTGGAAGCAAAATCTAGTTTCACTTTCACCTTACATTGAAGAAGTTTTGTAATATGTAGGATCCCATTTTAAAATATGTTTGATTGGCCTAAGAGCAGGCTGGTTGCTGGCCCTGTTTCAGTAAAGAGGGGTTGAAACTTGAAACATTGCTTAATTTTTTTTGAAAGGGAAACATTGCTTAATTCTCTGTATTTACATCACACACTTCTAAAATGTCTGAACTACGCCTGTTATCATCATTATTATTATTACTATTACTGCTGGCAGAAACTTGAGACAAAGTTGAGAAGAAAATTGTTTGTTTCAAAAGCTTATTAATCAAACAAAGCATGCAAGTCAAATATGAAATATGGCTAGAACTGTGAATAGAGAAGTTTAATTTGTGAAGATACTTATCAAACAAAAACCTTTTACGATCTCTGGCACCCATTTTTGGGACTGATCCTATTGTTATGGATGGCATTAGCCTTCAGCCTGAGACTAAATTTTTGCACCTTCCCTGTCGAATTGACTGGTAATTCCCCAAAAACTACAATTCGAGGAACCATAAAATCTGGCAGTTGTTCCTCACAAAATTTGACAATCTCTACAGAACTTGCATCATATCCCTCCTTCAATTTCACAAAAGCACAAGGCTTCTCTTTCAAACAATCATCATGCTTTCCAACAACTGCAGCCTCCAAAACCTTCGGGTGGCTTAACAACACTGCTTCCACCTCCAATGTGCTAATAATCTCTCCCCCTGAAACAATAATATCCATCGCGCGGTCCTTCAGTTGTATGACACCATTTGGATGCATAAGCCCAAGGTCTCTGGTCCTATACCATCCATCCTTAAAAGCTTCCTGAGTTGCTTTAGGATTTTTGAGGTACCCTGACATCAATGTATTGCCTCTAAACATTATCTCTCCAATTGTTTTTCCATCACGTGGTACGCTCTTCATGCTATCGGCTTCTTTCACATCAACCTCTTCAATCACAAGGTTATCAAGTCCAACCTGGAATTGATCATTTTTGTGTTCGTTGGAGAAACGAGAATTCCAGTCAGCTCTCCATGGCCTAACAATTGCAGGGCCAAGGACCTCTGTCATTCCATACGCATAGCTAACGGTAAAACCTAATCCTTCAACCTTGAGCACTTGGGACATTGACAACACACCGGCAATGATAACATGAACCTTACAGGGAAGTGGCCTTTGCTCACAGGCTGGTGCATCCGCAATCATGTTCAAAATGGCAGGTGCACCACACAAGTGAGTTACAGTGTGAAGATGAATGGAATCGAATATGACTTTTGCTGAGACATTTCTTAGGCAGATGCTGGTGCCGCCAAGAGCAGCCATTGCCCAAGTGCAACACCATCCATTACATCGAAACATGTCCACTGTCCATAAAAACACTGGGGCAATCCTCATGTCATACCGGATAACAGATGCTAATGAATTGAGATAGGCAGCTCTATGGCTGTATAATACTCCTTTAGGTTCTCCAGTTGAGCCGGAAGTAAAATTCACAGAAATTGGATCACCATCATCCTTTGGTTTTACTATTTCGAAATCAGTCCCTCCCATTCCAAGAAGATCATTATACTTCATACTACCAGAGGCGAACTCGTAATTTGCCACTAGGGTTGTTGCCTGGTCATCTTCTTGGATTAACACTACAAACGGTTGCTTGCCCTTCTTTTGGGATAGAATTTCAAGTGCTTCGTGGACAACGTGAACATATTGATTATCGATAAAAATAAATTTGGCCTCCAGTTTTTCTAGTATTACAGCTAAGGTAGCTGTATCCAACCTAATGTTAAGTGCAGAGAGAACTGCACCAGCCATTGGAACGGCAAAATGCAACTCATATAATGCCGGAATATTTGGCGCCAAAGCTGCGACCTAATCAATTGATGAGTATCAATGGAGATGTCAAATATGTTAGTTCAATGACAAATTCAATATTCAGGATCAATGTGGTGCTATATTATAACAAATCCAAAGTTTCAAAGGAAAGTCAGTGAGCTAATTAGCGCAGGGAAAATGTTAATTATATATTCATGAACAGTGGCTATAAATAGTCATTAATTAGTCATCCATAAATTAATTTTTTTAGAGCAAAAGTGCAGATATCTCTATTTTTCGGTTTAGGAACTACTGGTAATTAAAGAATATTTAATTAGTTGAACAGCTACAAGATTTCACATGTAATAACCGTTAAAAGAAAAAAAAGAATGTTTTAAATATTTTATAATTAAAGGGAGTTTTTAATAAAAATTAAAAAAGTAAAGGATTTATCAATAAATAACTTAATTTTTTAAATATGATTAATTTATATTATAGCGAAGTCGGCATAAAGAAAGTGCAATAAGCCAGACCAACCTATAAAAACGAAACGGTCCCTACATAACCAGTCATCAATAATATCATATAAACCATTTTTATCTTTGGAAAATTTACCGAGGGCTATAGTCATAACAATCTTCCTATTCAACTACTTCAATCATTTCCAAACACCTTATGTTATGGGTGTTCGGGGGTTCGATAGGCTTATTTCTCTTTTATTTATTATACATAATAAATAAGTCGAAATATTTTAATTAAAGGGCAAGAACAAAATTTACAAATAAATAAGTAAATAATTTTTTTTAATTTTTGAGAAATAATATTGATTATTAAATTTTAAAGTTTAATTTGTAATCTAGAAACTGGAATCCATTATTCCTCTTCAAGATTGATTTAGGGTAAATTATTTAGACTTTAATTAGGGTCTAATAAAATGTTGAAAAAGTTTAGTAATGTGATTGTATTGCTGTAAAAATAGAAAACAAAAATTTGATAAGATTAAAAAAAAAATTTTGTTTCGTATAAATGTTAGTATTTGCAGTGGTAGATTAAGATAATATTCTATATTAAAAATAAAATATTGTTATGATTATTATATATAATTAGAAAGCTTATTGAATTTACTTTTCAATAAAATAAACGGGAGTCAATTTTGAGTTTTTTTATAAATAGTAGTTTAATTTTTACTTAAGAATGTGTAAGTTATTTAATAGCAGCAACATGAAGGAATTACAAAATTTCTTTTAATTTTTATACAAAGAATTATGTATTGAGCCATTCATGTTGAAAAGGGCATTAAGTCTTCTTTTCAAGAACTGAATTCCAAGTTTCTTATGAATAAATATATAATTTTTATTATAAGATATATATACTATTTGATAGCAGCATATGACATAGATTGAAAATTTTATTACAATTTATCTACAAAGAATTAAGAGATGTATTATGTATGGATAGAAAGCTTATCGAGTCTAGTTTCAACACATTAAAAAGATCTTAATTTCGATTTGGATATATTGAGATATAGTTGTTTTAATGAAAAGAGCTTAGATTGCTAGTATTAGTTAGTTGAGTTAATTTTTATGTAACTTAGTTGTTTTAGTATATATGGTCTCAAAAAGTTTTGATTGATTTCTGATATGTTGAAATGACTTTGACTAAGCCGTGAATTATTCTGAAAAAAAATTAAGTGGTGAAATCGAAATGAGGTAAATAGAATTTCAAATACTTTGCTTGTTTTCAAATTTATATATATATGTATATTTCTAAATGAATGAATGTTTTATTTTTTTATTTTCAATATATGAAAATAGGATCAAGCATATGATTATTTTTTATTTCTCTATATAAATGATGGATCATGTTTATGAATAAAATGAGAAATTAGATTATGTTTGTGTAATGATTTTATGATAATTACGTATTTACATTTTTGAGAAGTGAGATCAATGACATCAGAACTAATTTTATGACTCTGGTTAATGCGTTATAGTAGTTAACATGGATATGATCATATAGCCCTGGTGTCACGGTCCATACTAACTTGTGAAATATTGTCCACTTGGCTAACTGACCTCATGATTTTGTTCGACAAAAGACGCCTTACAAGTTGAAAGAGTGTGAACCCTTATATCTCAAAATTAACTTTAGTACACAGTCGATGTGAAATTCATGGCTCCTCTCTAAGATCATGACATCCTTTCCCACTCCAACAGAGGCCTACCATTATCAGAAGCACATCGCTAGTACCCCTAGAGTCAGCTTTGATACCAAATGTTACGGTCCACACTAACTTGTGAGGTATTATTCGTTTGATCCGCTGGCCTCACGATTTTATCTCACAAAAAATATCTCACAAGTTGAAGGAGTGTGAACCTTTATATCCCAAGATCAACTCTAGTACACAACCGATGTGGGATTCATGGCTTTTTTTTAAGACCATGACATCTAGCTAATGAGTTATAATAGTTAGCATTAGACCTTGGCTAGCTGTTATAATAGTTAACAATAATCATGAGAATAAATTTATGAATACAGCCAACGTTACGAGTTATAGCAATAACTATAGAAATAATAAACTAATACTTTATAATGAATTGTGATGATTTTCAAGATTGATCCATGATTTGTATGAAATAAGTATTTGATCGTGATTTATAATTTATAATTGATGAATTGACATATTTTGATATTGATTTATAATCTATGAAATGTTTAACATAATGATGATTTTTAAAATATTTTAACATTATGATTCGATTAATATTTTGAATGATCTATATGATATATATAAAAACGATGCTTGATTTGGTAATGTGTGTGAGACTATTTGTTGAGATGTAGTTATTTTTTTTTTTTTTTTTTTACAGATGATTAAAATGATAAGTTTGTTTAAACTATGTGAAAAGCTAAAAGATCAAATTGAAAAGATTACTTGGGTATTAGAGATATTATTTGTTAGTGAGATTTTATGAAATGATTTTGTATTTTTATTAGTTTACACTTTGATATATAAAAATTTATTATTAGTTTGATTAAAGATATAAATTTTACTTAACAGATTAATTATTAAAATTTTTTTTTATATTATTTTAAAATTTTATTTTAAAATAATAAGACCGTATTGTATTTTAATACCGGGATATGAGATCACATATAACTATTACTGTTTAACTTATTAGATGTAACCACACGTACCTGCATCCCTTTTCCTTTTTCTTTATTTTTAGGTTTACCCATGAGCTGATGAGCAGCCCTTAATTTGTTTTTCATGGCAGACTATTAATTTGTTTTCTTCCTTAATTTACAGAGTGCAGACATGAATCTTCCTGGAAACAAGGGACGAATGTGACAAATATTTTTTAATCTTTCCCAGTAATTTAACTAACATATAGTTGCTTCAAAAAAACAAAAAACTAACATACAGTCAATGCAAGGCAGGAGGATTTAATAATAATAATCATAATAAATTTCTGGTGATTTGTTCTGCCCAATAAGCAATTGAGAATAGCCCAGTCCGGAAATATGTCACTTTCATGTACAAGAGGTCGCTTGGCTTTGAAACACTATAATTGGAGTAGTGTAGAGTTCATACCGAAAGACTTTCATTAAATATCCTATATTCCATGGAAGACGTTGCACTAAATCCGAACAAATTGCGTATTTCAACTTGACTTTGCATCATCAAATTCATATATGACTGAAATAAAAATTAAATAAAAAGACTAGCTAGGTTCATGCGGGACCACAAAGCGTGTTGTTCGTTTTTATTTGTGATTTTCTTTGAACAATTTATATTTATTGTCATTAATGTAAATATTTTATATATTAACCATTGCAATAGTGAATTACATACGTAATTAATAAGTACAGTTATTCTTAATTATTTTTTTTTTTTTATTAAAACCAATATAGTTATTGCTTCTTAATATTTTGCAGCAGATTAGAAAGCTTTACAACACTTTTGCTTCCAGAAAATTAAAAAGACCAAGACCAAAAGTAAATTTATATAATGATATTGTCGTTTTCTTTTCATAAAAAAAAATAATAAATTAAATAAAACAAAACAAAACAAGAGATTTGTCGTTTTTCTTGTGCATCACCTTCGTGCATGAATCATTATTCATAGCTTGGAATGTTGACTTTGACGCTTTCTGCTTTTTTATAGTAAAAATATTGCTTCTCTTTACACTTTTCAATAATTACAAACCTATGAATGTTGTATTAACCAGTCATTGAAACCATCGGTAAAACTAATCTAATAAATCTAGAAACTGAATTATAGGATGTTTTATAATCTTTTTTTTTTTTTTTTGGGTTAGAGTCGACTTAAATCGAAGCATTAATTATCAATTCTTCAGTTTTTTTTTTTTTTTCCGATTCTTTTGTAAGTTAAAAAAATTAATATCATATTTGATTCGAGTGATTAGTGCATTGAACTTAAAAAACAAGATTTAAAATGGCCTTTTTTCTTAAATTAAAAACAAAAAGATAAATCATTTCTCTTCTTCTTCTTCTTCTTCTTCTTGAAAACCGATGAAGGAACCCTTTTAAACCCTCTATGACTTATTGACATTGGCAAGCTTAATGGATACTCCATCTCTATGCGAATTGGTGTTTTTTTGGGATAAGCTTATTTATCTAAAGAAGCAGTTGCACTCTACTATTGCTAAGTGTAATGCTAATTGCTTAAAGCCATTATAATTTGAAACAATTAAGCTACTTTTAATTTTTCAAGGAGATAACAAGATGTGGTGCATTGAAATATTGCTATAAATTAAGAATCAAAGAAGAAGCCAAACTTACAGTATCACCAGAAGAAATCCCCAGCTGGGACAAAGCAGAAGCAATTCTGAGACATCTATCATGAGTTTCTCTCCAGGAGAAGCCAACGGTGCCATAAACGATGGAAACCTTATCTCCACAAACCTTGGCTGCTTGCTTCAGGAAATTCATAGGCGATAGAGGTGCGTAGCTTGCAGAGCAATGAAGCAGAAGAAGATCCTCCATCGGGTTACGTCTGACACGGTTCTTCTGTGGAATGCAATAGATTGGTGAGAGAGTGGGAATTGAATAAGTTAATAATGTCTGACTCAGGCCATTAAAACTAATTATATATATATATATATATAATGTAAACAAAATTTGTGGGATAGGCAAAGATAAGGACAGCACATCTTTTATGGGTTAATCTCCTTCTTTTCCCCCCGGCGTATGCGCTAAATTCACCAGTCATTACTATGGTTCCAAAATTATATAGGACTCTGGCTTACTGTTTATTAACTTCTTGTTTGAGGTGACCTTTAATAGGATATACTTAATTATATATACAGCTAAATATTTATATGCCAAAATGGAAAGACTAATTTGTGCATTAAGTGAATAATATTGTTATATTAGTTTTTTTTTTTTTTAAAGATATATTATTCCTCATTTAGAGATATCTAATAATATATACATAATAAATAAAAACAACTAATTGCATTAAGTTAGGAATTTTTCCAGCAATTAATATTGGAAATCTTAATTGTCCTTTCTTTTTTAATATTATTATTATTATTCATTCATCAAGTTTCTATTTATTTTGAATATTAACATTAGTATTGAAATTTTGGAGTTACCTTTTTCCATTAAAGGGACACATGTAGCAAAAGAAGTAAACTCAAAATAGTATTAATACTAATATTTTTCTTTAACTTAAAATCATATTCATTAATTTATCATGTGAAATTGAAGCACCTTGTGGATATGTAAGTCCAAAACCCCATAAACAATAGTTTGGACAAAATATTTACTGCATGCACATGTATTAATCTATTTTTTAATTATTTTCTCAATTTTCTTTTTTTTTTTTTTTCAAATGCGCCACATTTTGAGGATGTTTTGTCGTGCACAATAATTAAAGTTTCACGCTTTAGAAGGCCTGAGTTTATCCAAATTTTGGTAAGGATAATTTTTTAAATTTTATTCAATCAAATCTTGTGTAAGGTCCCACGTGTACATATAGATAAGTTGCAATTGATAGAGCATGCTCATGCCCACTGGTTCTAATTCACTATAAAACAAAATAGATGAGGACAGAAATATTGTAATAACGCATCATCAGCAAGCGTAATCTAACATAGGGAGCATAATCCATGTAATTTTTTTTCTTATTTTTGGATAATTTAACACGTCAAGTTTAGGGTTGTGTTTAGCGAGAAACAGCAGGAATTGATAACATCTAATGTAAGACTAGAAAACGTTGTCATTTATCAGGAAAAAAAAAACCCCCAAAATTAGTGCTACAAAGTAGAAACATCTAATTTTTTTGTTAGTCTGTCCGCATAATCCGAAGGATTTACATAAGAAAAAAATACCCGTTTCACACGGCTGCAAGTTCATTTTTGGTGTGAGCTCCGTGTTGGTTACGAGTACGGTTCATAGGAAAAAAACAGATTAACTGAGTTTTTTTTTTCTCCCCGGCTTTAAAAAGGATTCCCCTCCAATCACAAAAAACTTGTCAATTGCCTTCATCGAATTACTCGGGTTTCTTCAGAAGCAGATTATCTTGATATCGATACCATTGATTGTTTAATCATTCATGGCATCAAATGATAAGGAGAGGCCTCTACCAAGATTCGGGGAATGGGATGTCAACGATCCTGCTACAGCTGAAGGATTTACGGTGATTTTCACAAAGGCTAGTAATGAAAAGAAGGCTGCCAAGGCCACCGGGAACACACCGTCCAAGAAGAGATATCAGGATTCTGAAAAGCAAAATGATAAGAAAAAATGGCTTTGTTGCATTTCTGCATGAGTTATCATTTCCTCATCTGTCTCTGTGTATGGCAAGTATATTGTCGACCATATACTAATTTATTTTCTTTTTGAGAAATTAAGGAGATGAGATGGCTCATGATCAACTCCTAAGCTCATTATATAATTAATCCAGTTCTTCGGAAATGAAATTTAATGCTGTAATTAGAAGTGAAAGTTGTGGGAGGATATTATTTTGAAAAGAACAAGAAGGAATAATGTCAAAACAGATAAAAATTCAAGATTAGAGGAGAAAAAAAAAATACTATAATAAATTACGATTGAAGGCAAGGACTGGGCTATGGCTATCCGGCAATGGCATGGCCGGGGACGCATGCGGGCAAGAATTGCTGTCATAATTAGGTTCGTAATATATATAGTTTGGAATGAGTATAATATCTGTCAAAGAAAATATATAAATACATATTAACAATTATTATGCAGGATGGAATGCTGTCATTGCAAATATCTTTTCTTTTCCTTTCCTTGCCTTTTTTTATTTATGAACTTTTGGTAGTCTACTTTGACAATCGTAATAATGGAATTAAATATAGGTTAGGCAAATTCCTGGTGCTGGTTAGCCTCAATTGATCAGCCTAATATAACAAATTCTTATTTCAAATCCCAGCTTGTTCTTTTTTTCTTTTTGAAGTTGTATTCATATCCGCCTTCAATTATTTTGTCCAGTATTATAAATTTATGATGACTCTGGTTGATTTAAAAAGTTAAACATTGATACGGATGAAATAAGATATGCTTCAACCTAATAATTTAATATGATCAGCAAGCTATCTCCAGTACTACAAATTAAGACTACTGCAATTTGAATTCGCTATGGTTGGAGAAAAATGATCATCTCATCAATCCTTTGATCAAATAGAAACATTTTGGAAACAGAAAAACAAAAAAGTCTATATAACATTAATTTTCAAAATTAATTAAGATCACAAACACTATTAATTTTGTTTGCAAATTATCTTCAATTTTCTAATGATGAATCTCTACAAATAGTTTATCACTTTAATTTAAGTGACCCAATTCCATGTATCATAGTATATGACTTTGTGTATTTCCTTACTTTATTATACCATCTTATCACCAAAATTTTAGTGGAGACCGACCTCAGGTTCCAATATATATCTCCAAGGATTCTAACAAAACTTTCCTACCATTAAACAAGGCAACATAGTGCGTCAGAACGATATATTTTTGCAAAAAAAAAAAAAAAAGATTTCCTGTCTCTTGAAATTTTTCTACAACCGAATAGTTCTCAATGTCGTATTAGGATAATTGGCACACTAAAATGATGAAGGAAGCCAACCCTTTTTGAATAGAGAAGTCAAAGAAAACGGATCGAGTAAAGTATTCTACAAATACCCTGTATTTCAATCCAAAACCCACATTCATACTGTCAAAATATAGAAAAATCAAGTTGTATGCTCTTTTTGACGTTAAGTACTACTCTAGCAACATTATTCTTCCTAAGAGTATCGGTAGAACAGTACGGAAGGCAAGCAGGAGGTGCTCTATGTCCAAATAGACTGTGTTGCAGCCAATTTGGGTGGTGTGGCAACACACTTGAGTACTGTGTAACTGGCTGCCAGAGACAGTGTAGTGGTGGTGGCTGGACCCCAATCCAACCCCTAGTGGTGGCAGTGGCATTGCCAGCATAATCAGTCGAGCTCTCTTTGATGAAATGCTTAAATATCGAAATGATGGAAGATGTCCCAGCAATGGATTCTATACTCTTGCGAAGCTTTCATTTATACTGCTCGATCTCTTAATGGAGATTTGGCACAAGCGGAGACCTTACAACCCGAAAGAGGGAAGTCGCAGCTTTCTTGGCTCAAACCTCTCATGAAACGACAGGTTAGTGTAATTTGGGAAGCTTTTGTTGAAGATTTTATTGCTGAAAGGCGTATATTAATTAAGTTAACCGTAATATATCTAGCACCTAATAAATTAAACCTAAACCATATATATTTTATATAAGACGGCAATGAAGCTATCCACAATTCAGTATTGCAAATAAATGAATTACAGGAATTAGCTAGGCTTTCCAATCCAATAAATAAGAAGATGGATGAAATAAAAATATTTTGAATTTGGAAGAGGGGGAGAGAAGAGAAAGTAAGCAGACCATTGCTTTATTCTTCAATTTTCTGAACATAGTTTATATCAAATTTAGAGAAAAGTGCTTTGGATGAAAGAAATTTTTGGCTACTTGGAGACAATAGGAAAAGAAATAATAATAAAAAAAGACTGATGAACACTTCCTATCATGGAGGATCAAATAAATTCAGATCAGTTATGTCAATATATCTTTCCCCAACTCCACTTTTCAATTAGTTCAATTTATATATTAGCACAATATCATCAATGGTGGCATCGAATGTGGCAAAGGATTCAACCGTCAGGTTGCGAATCGATGGAGTACGTCGGGTGCTATAAGAGATATTGTGACATGTTGAATGTGAGCTACGGACAAACAAAGGTAGTTTGCTTAGGCACTTTAGTTAATTATGAAAGAATAACAAGTTATCTCATTATAATTTAAATATCAGATAAATAAAAAGACCTCGTGCTTAATTTGGAGCTTATTATTAATTTTTGTAGTGTGGCTATATATGTCGCCTGTAAAAAGCATCAATAACTGTAATTAATAAGCAAATTATTATGGATTATTTATTCTGGCAGCCTCTCCCTAGCTGGCTGGCTAGCTAGCTAGACCCCTTGTAATTTCATTGAAACTTCCTTATACTATACATAGAAGACAGTGCATCACTTCAGTCGTCACTGACGAATCGAAACCAAGAAATTATACATGTTTAGTTTTACAATAGATCCTTCATTTTCAAGTCAATTTAAAATGAAATTCACTTAGGAGTGTAACTATATATGGATTTGATTTGTATATATATTTACTAAGGGAAAGATTATAAATTGCAGAACAATTACACAAGTTTTATACACATACATAAAATTTTGAAAATATAAAGATTAATTTAAAAAATAAAATTTTGAAAGAAAAAATAATACGTATGTAAACAATTTATGTGCATGAAATATGGGTATGTATTATTGTCAGTTTAGAAATTGTGAGAATGAAAAATTAAACATTGTAGAATTTAGTTAAAATTCAATATATTTTGACAGAATATTATAAGAAAATATGTTTAAAATTCTCTCTATTTTAATTTGTTTGGTATGTCAAATTCATTATTATTAGTTAAATAAAAATCTAATAAATTCATTAATTTAAAGATAATCATGACAGTTATTTATTTTATTATTATTATTATTATTTTATCGCACAATTTAAATTAATTTAAAATATATATCTAAATCCCTTTCTTAGAAACTTCCTAGTCAACATAGAAGTACTGCAATTTATGGTCAACAAACGTGATTTTCTTGCTAGTCCTCTTTGCCTAAGGTAGCAATATATGGTATTTTGTGTGGGCTCGATCGGCTTCATAAAGATAGGTTTTAATTTCAACTACAAATATATAGTATCATAAAATTGTTTGAATTTTAAAGAAGACAATCACATTAAAAGGCTAATTAAAGGTTACAGCATTAATACACTAATTGAAGATACAGAGTTACAAAGCAATAATAGCATGCATGCCTAATTACCAAATACCATTTCAAGACATAAGAACTCGGACTTCTCGGCTGAGCCTACATTAAGTCCATTAATGTCCAGTCCGTGCTGAGCTCAGCTGACAGCTGCAGCTTCTCTTTCATGGATCCAACTCTAACTAACAGTTCAGTGATATCGGCTTCGTTCTCCCATTCTAATTTTTCTGCTGCTTCCAATTCCTCTTCCCACTCTGCTCCATAATCAAGGTCTTGCTGGGATGATGGCGTATCAAAATTAATTTGAGCAACGCAAGAGGAAAAGATATGAGAGGTCGTCCTGGCATGATGTTCTTCTGCCCTTTGCTCCAACACCCTCAACGATGTCGCTTTTCGGTAAATTTTGCAAAGTACTATATCATCCTGAATTCACATAATATGGCAGGTATGTATAAAGAAGTTCATTCTCCAATAAACAGATGAAAACAGTTAATAATCAGATTATACTGGTAACTACCGTAGGGAAGGAAGTGTCAGAGAGTCTGTACTCGTTCATGACCCAATCAGTTCTGCAGCCTTTCGGCGCTTTCCCTGTGTAGAAAACCAAAGTTTTTCTGAAGCCCACTATCTGCTTGGGCTCCTTGAGACTTCTGATTTGACGGTCAGACCCAGTTGCCTTCCAGTAGCCCTTCTCAGTTGTCCTCTTGGGCTTCCCCCCACGACCACTCTCTTTGTCTCTGTGCACAAAGAAATACCACTCTCTCTCCCGTATCTTTGCCAAACCTGCGGTGACTCCATAAATTTACCAGTAAGTTTAGAGATTGATGACAATGCATGCTTTCTAGAAAACGTAAATAGTACTATTATATACTATATACTACTATCCTCACATGCATTTTACAACATCGTCAACTAAATTAATCGATAAAGAGATAGAAATTAATATTACCTGGCAAATCCCAAGGGTGATGTTTATAAATGTTGAGAAAACCAATTATATCGGAATGCAATTTTTTACCCAAGGCGGTTTCCTTCAGGTAATAGTCGACAAGTTCTTCTTCAGTGGGGTGGAAGCGAAATCCTGGTAATGCAAGCTCTGGAGTAATATTTTCCATATTAAAGCAAGCACGAAAAAACAGTGACTCAAAGTGTGGTTTATTATTTCTCTTGGGCAACAGGGTGGTTTATATGGGGAAGAAATTGAAATTGATTTGGAGGAAAGAAGACCAAGGAGTGGAAAAATTTACTATAATTATTCCAGCCGCCGTGGGTCTCACACGCTTTATGTCGATGGCAAACCCTGACAAGAGAAAAGAAGCTTGTTCTTTTTAATATCCTCTTGCACATTTTCCAGGGACTTGAGTATCTGATAGTACTATGATATTGGTTAAGTTGCCAGGAAAAAATGTAATCGGAAAAGTTTTATATATTTATACACAGGATTAATTGATATAATATAATTTTTTTTTAATTTTACGTGTTTTTTTAATTTTTGATTTTAATAGATTCTAGATCATATATATATATAAACAGATAGGTTAATTATTTAAATTCATGATAATTTCTTTTGAACCAAAAGTAGTTACAATTTATTTGAAAGGTAAATTTTAGAAGAAATTTTTGTAAACATTTTACAATAGAATCATGTTTACATGTTACTAAAATTTTGGCCGAAAACATGTTTCATATTATAAGTACAATAATTTGACTCAATTAAATTTCTTTTCATTTTTTCATTTTTTTTTTTTTTGGGTAAGGAACCGTTTGCCAATTCTAACTCTTCAATGATGTCCATGTATGTATATAAACATACTCATTATAGTTATAGTAATAATTCAGTACATAATAATTAATCGTATCTTATTAAAAATCATGATTAAAAACTTCATGTTAAAAAATAAAAATTTCTGAATTAACCTAAGGCAAATTGATAGTCATCCTCCTAGATCTCTTTTGTCTGAAGAACGAAAAGGTATCATAAAAAGTTAAAAGGATTATATATAGGATTTATATTTGATGATCTTATGATTATAAATTTTATACACTGTTAATGAATCATAGATTATCATATCATTAATAAATAAGTTTAAAAGTTGAGAAGTACTTAAAAATAAATTAAAATAAACTTTTATTATTAATGTTTTAGAACTTTTAATTTTTTAAAATTTGCTCCCATTAATGACCAAACATAAATTTTTACTAATTTTTTAGATAAATACATAAATTTTGATTTTTTAAAAAAAATATTTTCATTAATAATCAAATATGGTATCATTTGATTTACTAATATAATATATAATATATTAAATATAAATTCTATATATTATGTTATCTCTTCCAAAAAAAAGACAAAGAGCAAGCAATTATGATATGACGAGAAAATGCACTATGACCAAATTCAGACCCCAATTTTATTTTCCAAACCTTTGAATATTTAGCGATAATTTATGCAATGTATTTTTTTTTTTTTTTGACATGTCAAGTAATGAAGTAAAATCAAAATTCTAATTTAAAACAAGAGTCGAAACATACCATGCGTGCTTGAATATGATCAAATATCATGATGACAAAGGTTTGTCATCTTAATTTCTTATTATTCAAAATTCAGCTCTGATGATGCCTGCTAAAAGAATTATAAGTAGTAATTGTTAACTCACTTATCTATTAAACAAGTAAGATATAATTTATACTATGATCTATTTGATTATCTATGATTGTTTTCAATCTTTGTATAGCAATAACCATATCTACAAAACCCTCAAATTAAGAGTTACACCATAACGATTAAAATTTAAAATTTTAATTTAAAGATCTCAATTTATAGAATGAAGGGGCAATTATAATTTTTTTTTTCCCACAGTTGAAGTCCAAATAAACTTTGATATATACAAAAAGAAAGTAATTAAGATATGACAAAATATGTGAAGTATTTGATTATGCTATAACATTTTATAATTTCTTGTAATGATAAAAGAGGAATATTTTTAAAAAGTTATTCAACTCTTTTTTTTTTTTTAATTTTTGGAGGGGGGGTTTGGGTGAAAAGTTCTCTATCATTTGAAAATTAAGAAAATATTATATATATATATATATATGTTCATTATATCATTTTAATTCATTTTTCTGGGTAACAGTAGGCACACGCAAATTAGTGAGGAGCAATAGTAGGAGAATGATAGAAAGATAGCAGTCATTAAAGGTGAAGTCAAAAATATGAGAACAGAGGAATCAAATAATAATTTTATTAAAAAAGAGGAAATTAAATACTATTTTTGATAAAATAAAATACTTTGTTATAATAGTATAAAGAAAATTCTAGAAGGTCGTGACTCATGCCAGTCAAGTAGCACTCCATCATTGTTGTCAATTAAATTGCTATCCAATTTTCAATTTAGAAGGTTAGGTTTTGATCACACTGCTATTGCATATTATTGAGAAGTAAAGAAACTCTAATTTCAAAATGGACTATTATTTTTATATGGCCATTATTCTAAATTTTCACTAATATTATTCATTACTTTTTATTTGAAAATGAAACATCATTAACATTAATGACTTGAATAGGACTGAAAAATGGAGGAATTATATATCAAACATCAAATTAATTAAGGTCAAATTTTGATTTTGAATGGAGGGATTTGTCCTCGGCAGCTCATCTCTTTCCTACTTTATTGAGAATGACCTTGGAATTAAGGAAGGACACTTTTACTAACAACTTGTCACTTGTGATTGTGAAATTAATTACCATTTATCATAATAGTCATAAAATTTTATTCAAAGTTCGCCTTATCTTATTCGATTGGTTATAAATTTTCTTAATTGCAATGAAGCACGGATACAATTCCAGTTGATCTCCTAATCCTACGTACAGAAGATTTTATAATATTTTAGTACAATCGGATGAAGATTGATTTATATTTAAGGTTTGGATTTAGTTAATAGTTATGATATTAGCTTCAAATACATAAATACTACTCTTTTGAACCTTTTCTTCTTGAGTGTAACTGTCCAAGTGAGTGAGTCCAACCTATTGGTCAAACCTATTAAGCTTGGAAACGTTGTCTTCAAAACTCACATCTGAGTCTGACAAGGGAATTTTCCTAACGTTTAAAAAAAAAGAAAATTCCCCAACCCACACCCTACGGCCACGCGTTCAGGTGATGTTGATCGCAACTTTGTATTTTACTTACGATGAAACAATCCAACATTTTGAGTGGGAAATTTGGCGGACCATACCTCAAATAATTGAAACAATGGTGGGTCATAACCATGCATGCTAGCCAGCTGCCTAGCTAAAGGCGTAGCCGTAGAGTGTGGTTTGGGAACTTTTTTTAACGTTGGGAACATTCCCTTCCCGAACTCCGGACTCACATGTGAGTTTTTAAGTGACCCTTTTCGGTTTTGATCAATTTTAAAAGGGAAGAATGATGGTTTTATTTATAGATTAGGTATTCTTAAGATTTATTATATGTGGTTTGAGGTTAAAGTTTAAAAATTTTTAAATTGCTCATTATATCATTGTTCACATACTAGTAAGGCATCCTAATCCTCACCTATTACAGGTTACAAACGAAAAAAATTCAATTTGAGTGGAGTATTTCGCTAGCCACTGCGAAAGCATTAGACCTTATGAAAGCAATGGGTAATTTACTCTTTCTTAGAGGGACGAAGCTCGGGTATAAAGCTCATGTTATGCATATACATATGAATGACATAATTAATAAAGTAAATAAACATGAATGAATAAAAAAAATCTATACAAAGGTTCAATTTTATTAGGCTTTTAGACAACATAAATTTATTTGCTGGCCTGACTCTCGGCATGTCTCCAGTGGAGTCGCCAATCTGTCATAACGTCTAGATCCGATGATTCATCGCTAAACATTGACTTAAAAGAGTCGCCATTAATCTTTTTTATCTAGGTGTGATTGACCATCTAAGGAATCTATCTTTTTAAAGAACACCTAAGTCTAAGGGTCCTTAAAAGAGTAGGTTCAGGTCTACTAACTAAAACAAAGTTCGAGAGTACGGTTACGTGTGAGAAAGATTGTAGCACCCTCACAATACCCATCGAAAGATGGTACCAGCTTAACTTTGTGTTATCCAATAAGCTTTAAAAATTTATCAAGTAATTAATTATTAAAAATTATTCTCAATTGACTCTAATACTTTTAGTAAAAAATTGAAAAAATTTTCTCACCTCAAGAGTATGTAAAGAACTATTGTTTTACTTGCAGAGGCTCTATCGTCGGATTATTTAACATTAAAAAAAATTCAAGAAACAAAAAAAAAAAGAAATAAAATGAAAAAAATGATTTAGCTTTAGATATAAATCATTTTCTCTTCAACAACTCATTGCTTTTGTATAAGAAAAATTGATACTTTCAACTTTTTCTCGAAAATAATTTTTTTAAGACTTATTTTCAAGAAAAATTAATACTTTCAACTTTTCTTTAAAAATACTTTTTAGAAAACTTATTTTCAAAAAAAATTGATACTTTCAACTTCTCCTCAAAAATATTTTTTTAGAATTTTATTTAAAGAAAATCAAAAAATAAAATAAGATAAAAATAAAAATAAAGATAAAAATAAAGAAAATAAAAATAAAATAAGAAATACTAAATAATTCTAATCTAATCATTAAATAATAATAATAATAATAATAAATAAATAAATAAAAAAAAACCTCGGAACGGCTCGGCTTGAGAAAAAAAATGGCTTGAAGAACACGGCTTGAGAGTATGCGGCTCGGCTCGACTCGAACTTAGGTGGAGAAGCAAGTCGCTGGATCGGGTGCACTACGGGTCGGGTCACCCGAATGGGAACACGCGAATTTTGAGATTTTCTTAAGCGCAAAATGACGTTGTTTTAACAAGATATAAAAGGCAAATACCTCCATTTTTTTACTAGATCTCCCCTTTACTCTCTCTCTCTTCCCTTCCTTTCTCCTCCCTCTCTCTACCCGAACCAAGAACTCTAGTTGAATCTCGTCGATTTTGGAAAATATTGTCGAAACTAGGTTTTTCGTCGAAAGTTTATCAAAAAGTTGGTCGGTTTCTAGAAATAATACGTCAAAAACTAGGTAGCTGATCGAAAAATTCAACTGGTGTCGAAAAAGCCACCGAAAAATTCAAAACTTCGCTAGAAAATTCACCAGAATTTAGAAATTTTTCAAAAATTCTCAAAAACAA